TAAGGCCGTGGTCCCACACAGACACACGCTGTATTAGGGCCTAATGGACAGAGGCCTAAGGGCAGACAAGACAAAGCAGTGGGTAATGGTTCAGGGAACAGTGGACAAGATAAATGGTTATTAGTAGGTATAAAGGACTGCGTGGGGAGGAGATGGCTATAAAGAGATTTGAAGTAAACAAGAGAATTCTTGGCAGATGAGAACAGAAAGACTGGACTGGGTACATAAAGCCAAGTATAGACAGAAGGGACCAAGGTAGCAATTAGGTGAAAGGCTGAAGAATACAAGGTACTGGAGACAAAAATGAAGACATAAGAGGCGCATTTTTAATCTGATGCTTGGAAAGACTGCAACTGAAAATGGGGCTGACAGGCATCAAGTGGAGAGAGAGGATTTTACTTCAGAATATTCAAGAAGTCTCCACTGTGAAGAGGAGAGAAGAGCTGCCAAACCATAGATTTCAGTAATCAAGGTAAGAGATAACCACGGTTTCGGCAATGCAGACAAACAGCTAGTCGAGCTTTTGAGGATACTACAGATGAGAAACGATGAGATAACAAGAGACTAGATATAGAAGAAAACTACCAGGGTTCTGAGCTTCAAAGACAGAAAAGTTGTTAAACAGACTCGAAATTAGAAGGAACTTGGCTCTGAAGTTTCCATCATTAAGACGTTGCTAGAATCCACTGGACAGAGCAAGAGATACGAGACTGGATAATGTAAAGAGATAGATTTAGGAATAAATATGAAGGTAGAGTTGAACAAGTGGAAATAGAGAAGAAGAAAAAAAAAAGAAGATGAGGAGGAACAAGACTGAGAAAAATAATCTCTCAAAAGACATGAAAGACAGGAGAATCAGCAAAGCAAACAATGAAACAAACCAAAAAAGAGAAAATGAGTGATCGGTTCAACTAAGCAGCCTACTTTTGGTTTTGCTAAATGGTGACCATTGTTAGTTAGGACCATTTCAATGGAATGGAGGGAAGAAAACCAGCTTGGAAGGATGAGAAAACAAGAAAGGGAACTGAACAATGAGTGAACTGCATACTTTGAATTTAGGGCAATAGTTAGAAAGGAAAATGAGAAACAAACACGCATCCATGCATATATACAAAGTTAGGGAAAATATGCTTCACAGCAAAAGAGAGAGAACAAAAAAAAGTATGGAAAGATAAGAGAGGGTCTGAACAACAGAATAAGACCAGAAAAAAGAGCAGAAGCAATAAGGTACAGTCAGTAAGCATAGAGATGGAAAGAGAAGCTCCAGAACAAGAAATGAGAGTAAATTATATGTTTGAGAAAGACAGGAAGGCAAGAAAAGTTCTCGCCCCATATTATTGTTATCAAGGTAAAAGCGAAAAAAAAAGAATTTAGTTGGTATCTCTTGTTTATTTATAAACAGCTCTGAGACCTCTGCCTCCACTGTAGCTAGAAAAAACCAACAGCACCAACAATTCATAATTTATAGCAAGCTGTCAGCTGAACACCTTACAAACAGCATTACAGTATTCTAGTGAAAACTGCTGTATAGTCCTACATTTCATTAGATTCCTGATGTAAGAGAATGTGCATGGGAAGAGACAGCAGTTGAAGCGAATGGCAGATTTAAAAACAGCCATGTATTACAGAAGGTTCCTAATCTTATCCCAGGGTGAGATGCTCTCTCTTCTTTAAAAATTCAGGTTATTGTTTTGTTTGCTTGTTTGTTTTAACCATGTCACGATAACTGCTCACGGTACTCCTGGTAAAAAGACTCATCAGGGCTGAAGAGTGGAAGAATTCCTTCCCATTTGGATACAGAATACCCTCTAAACCAGTGTTTCTCAACCCATGGGTCACAACCCAAAAGTGGGTTGCAAGAATATATGAAAGGGTTGCAAACAAACTTTAAAAATGGATTCTCCTTTAAAGATGAAAAGCATGGGAAACAGTGGCTTTTTCCCTTGTAGGCTGGCAGAGGTCCAGCCTGAAAGGGGCTGCATGGAGACCCATATGCCCCTCATACACCCTTTGCCCCACACACTGGGGGACTGGGGGCAGCGGGTCGGGAGCAAGGGGCACTGGGTCAGGACTAGGCATTGATGTTTACAAATGGGTCCTGGTACAAAAAAGGTTGAGAAGTACTGCTCTAAACAGCATTCCCTGAGAACATATTTGGCTCACTCATCTTCACTCCTTTTCAATGAAAAATACATGCCTTTTGTCCCTCCATTTTCAGTTCTGTCACTAATATTATTCAGTGCCCTTTTGCAAGACTTGGATAATAACTTCTGTCCCTTAAAAGTAGTGCACATAAGATACAAAGTTCAAGTAACCATCAACAAAATTACTATACATAAAATGCTGTCAAATGGACAAAGTGAATAGAAGAAAGAGTGAAATACCTCTCAATTCTCTTTCAGTTATTGCTTTTTTTAGCAATTACTTGTAACAGCAATATATACAATATTTTCTGATGGAAGTACAATTTTAACTGGATTCTTACAAAAGAAGTTAAGACATGCCTAAAGATAAGCATTTTAAGAGAGGCTAAGGCCAGGCATTTGGAAGGACTTTTGAGGACATCCTACCCCAGTGTAACTAGATTATGACTGGGAAAAAGGACTATGCTCCAGCCTTCTGTGGGACAGCTGGAACCCCAACAAACATTTTTTGATAGCCTGAACCTGCCCTCAATGAAAGAGGTTCCAAGCTGGAGCTCCTAAAGGAGACAGGCAGGCAATTCAACTTCAAATTCAAAAGTGACTGAGGCTGTTGAAGGCTGGCATCAAGAGCAGCTGCCCCTAATCCCAGCTTCACAAAAAATGCTACCAAAATATGTCCTTGCAGCAGTAATGAAAAATACAGAAATGAATGTTGCCTTTTGATTTTGGCACTCCCAGAATTTAAAAACAGTTAAATTAATAATTAGAAATAAACCAAGGATTTTGGTTAAGGAAGTAACAAAAACATATTTTAAAAAGCAAATTCTAAAATTTTACGTATTTACTATTACATATTTCCAGAACATACATGAGATCAAGCTGTGTATCATCCTAAAGCTAGGAAAAGTTAATAGATGAAGACATGAGACAGAATAAAACAGCTATAAACTGCCAAAGGTAGGAAAGGCTTGAACATTACAGAATTCTAATTCCCACAGATTTCAGTGATACTGACTGGGGAAACAAGTCGCTATATGCAGGACAGTTTTCTAAGAAAATCATAAGAGCTCTATATTAATATGAAAATATATTTATCGGTATAATTGTAACTATTGCCTGATCTACAGACACATTGTGATGCTGTCAACTTGCAGAGGGGATAATAATGACACGTCCGCAGTTACTGCAAAAGTACTTATGAAAGAAGAATCCACCATACATAAGCACATCCCCTCCCCCTCATTTCCTGATCAGTGTCTGCTGCCTGCATAAAACATGTTCTCACTAAGCAGCTGCTTCTATTGGTATGAGCCACAACAGTTAGCATAAAGCTGAACTGAAGTCTGCTGAAGACCAAAAAAACAAAGATCTTGAAATACAGGTAAGGTTTATAATACATGGACTCCACATATAATATGCCCCTGAACTTGAGCTGTGCACTGACTATAGCTGAAGCAGCCTGACAGACAGGAAAAGCCGAAGAGGGAGAGAAACTGAACAGAAAGAAAGGTGAAAGAAACGTGAGACAGGCAAAAACAAAGATAACACATAGATGCAAAGAGAAGGGGATAATAACAGGCAGAAAGGACACTAAATGGTGTAAAATAATTAGCCTAATATTTATGCCACTAAAATTCCCTAAGTCAAAGCCAAGACAAGACCCACCTGAACTGTTTTGGTAATTCACGTAACTACCACAAAAATAGGTTTCTTACCATATGATTTCTAATGCAATATAAGACATATAAAGAAAATACAACAAAATTCTAAGGGTCTAAGGAACACAAAGAGTACATAGATATTTGTGTTTGTGTTTACCTCTACCTTCTCAAATGGATTCTGCATCCTAGGTTTGATAAGCCTTATTCTGAACCATAATAATATAGTTGAGAGAAGCAACTTAGCCCACAATCCTGTTGTCTCTCTCTTCTCACGGTGTTTTCATTTCTATACAGGTGTCTAGTTCAAGAACTCTTTATTTGCTTGAAACATACTGTGAACTAACTTCTAATTTGGTTAACAGCACGTAACCTTTAAATAAAGAACAATACACGAACAAAAACAACAAGATGTGCATTATTTCCTTTCTAAGTCAGGGTTTTGAGACGGTTAAAGCAAAGTGCATTTAAGCATTACACTAAGGTTCTCAAATTTTTTTCAGTGTGAACAATGTCTTACTAAAAAAACTGTCTTGTTGATACTTCCCTTTCCATTCAACAGCTTACTGCTTCCCTTTGACAACTGAAGCAGTTGTTTACATGTAAAAGTGCTGTTAGAAAAGTATTAGCTAAGTAAAAGTAAAGATGGCATTAGCTGTTTTTTTAATAATATTTTAAGAGATAAATATAAGAACAACCCGTATTACATTGCCTTTCGGATTTCTAAGACCACTAGAAAATGCTGCATCTTGCCACTGCTTCACAGATTATGATTTGAAAATTACCATATTATACCAAGGACATTACTGAACAGCATTTCCTTCAACTTGTATCCACAGCAGCAATGAGTACCAAAGGAAAATGTTAAAAATACAACACCACTAACTGCAATCACAAGATGGGAGGAAAAAACACTTTCCATATTATTATTATGAAAATGAATTACTCCATGAAAATTCCAAGCTTATTAGCACACCTTCTTTTGCTAAATTTTGCCAAGCCAGACCTAAAGGAACAGACTACTGCCTTAAATTTAAACATCGTCTAGAACTAAGTAGGGACCAACCTTTGTACAAGTCTAACACTGCCTTGCCTCCATACCTAGCCTGCTGGGATGCCTAAATTACACCAACATTCTTATGAATACATTAACAATGTAAAGTTACCAGTAAGATCATTGTATGATTCCATACTATACCTTCTGGTAAACTATAGAACACACAAGGTCTTTGACAGCAGAAAGGGACAGGTCCTGAGCTTCAATGGTGACAGTTTCTCGAGTAAGACCAATCTGCAGCAGGAATGAGATCCCATGCATAGAGCCCCTGGAGTTAGTGAGACTCTGTGTACTGAGGCTGCCATTGGACAGTCGGCCGGAGAGTCCAGACTGGGGACTTGAAGATAAAGAAGGCGTTGGTGGTGCAGCAGCATGAGATGCAGGTGGGGAAAACTTCTGTAAGGATGGAGGAGAGGAGTCGTTTCCTGACATCTGACTTGCTTTAAATCTGTAGAGATTTGCCTAGTAGTCGAATTTTAAGAAAAATATTCTACCAGTTTGTTGGTTTAAACTGTAAAATTAAAGAGTCTAATGTTCCCTTTTTTATAGTTCACTTGAAGGCCTCTGACCTGTAAGTCACGTTCATTTTCCCTTTCATTCCATTTACGCTGGCTGATGAGTAACAGTATTTCAGCCGGAAGTTATTTTAAATGAAAGGTCCTCTTCCCAGAGTTTCAATCAGCTGATCCAAAAAACACGGACTTGCCTTTAGCACCACATCCAAATGTTGGGCGAGGCTTAAATCACACAACTGCCCACTTCAGAGGGGCACAAGGATCTTTCATTTCATTACTTTTGAGAAACGTCAATCCCAGATTAAAAAAAGCAGTAGTAGCTCTTTAAAAAAATATATATTCCTTCAGTGACTTAACTCCAGAGACTAAAATAACACACGCAGGTTCATCTTCACCAAGCTGTCTTTTTAACCTTGACCAAAAGGTGTGGACAATGTCCTGAGCAAACAGTAATGTTTATATCAAGGTTTAGGTGGATCTATTCCTTCCTCTGAAGTTTTCCAAGTTTGCTGGCATGTAAGGGCATAGTTAAAAGGTTACCTTCACCGATCTCCAAATTTTCATTTTCGTAAAACGTTTTCTCTCATGAAAGAAACAAACACATTAAATGTAATCTCTTGGGTCACCCAGAAAATCTGCAGCATTTTGAAACGTATTCTGCCTATAAAAGAAAAAAATGAAGTCATTATTTCAAACTGCTCCATAACATTGCTTAATGGCAGTATAACCACACTAGTTTTAAAGCTAGTTAATCAATTTTTACATTCGTTTTGCTGATTAGCAACTGATGCTTAAAACGTTCCCTGACACGCGATATAGCAGGTTAAGGATGTCTACAGCTTCCTGACATGGCTGCCATATTTAGCATTTTATGGTTGTTTGAGTAGACCACAGCTCTGCTGTATGAGTATATAGTCTGCAGGTGATGAGTGGGGAAGGAAATGTATTAAGTGAAAAACCATAGTCCCATCATCAAAAAAAAGTGCACACAATGTGCATGTAACATGGAATTTAACAAATACTCTTATTCGAGTTGACATTAAACAGTGAAACATTTATTATTCCATATAGCACTTAGAAAAGCTTAATTACATCCCCAGAATACATTTACATAATGTTTTCAGAAGAGCCAGAAGTAGCACTGTACATGACTTTAAGGCTCAAGCCTAACTAAAAATAATAAACCTACCATACTTTGTTTTATTATTGTTCTGTGATGCATTTGGGGGTTTTTGCTCTGCTTTGGTGACCATGGACTCTGTATTTTTGTTACAAGATTTTGTTGTTGCCCAAACCAGTTTTTCAAGCAGGAAAGAATGCTGAATACCAGTTTAAGTCATTTGAATCTGTACCAGCTGTTATGTTAATAGTACTGAGCAGTTTTAGTCAGATATATTAAAAATCAAGGCGACTCAAATGTCTATTTCTTAACTGGAACTAACCTTCTTCCACATTTATATTATAAATAGGTTTAAAATATAAAGAAATGGGTGGAGTTGCAAATGCTTATGAGAACGGAGCTAGGATTCAGAAAGACCTCAATTGACTGTGTACCATTTCTCAGACAAAATGCATGACAAGGGCAAGTGCAAAGTCCTCCACTTGGGATAAAATAACTGCATACACAAATAGAGACCAGGGAATGACTGGCTAGGCTGCCGTACTGCAGAAAAGGGCCTGGGGGGGTTACAGTAGCTCATAAAGCTGAATACAGGCCAACAGGGAGCTCTTGCAAAACAAACAGGCCAACAGCATGCTGAGTTGTATTAGCAAGAGTGTCACTAGCAAATCAAGGGAAGTGGTTCTGCTCTATTCAGGACTGTTCAAGCCACATGGAGTACAGTGCCCAGTTTTGGGCCCCACACTTCAAGAAGGATTTGGACAGTTTGGAAAATCTAGCACAGAGCAACAAAAATGATTAGGGACCTGGGAAACAAGATTTATGAGAAAAGGCTAAAAGAACTAGGGTTATTTAGTCTGGAGAAGAGAAAACTGAGGGGGAATTTGATAACAGTCTTCAAATATCTGAAGGGTGACTACAGCCAGGATGAAGATGGGCTTTTCTCTGTGCTTGCAGGGGACAGGACGGAGAGCAATGTCCTCAAGCTGCAGCAGTAATGTAAACTGGAGATTAAAAGGAACTTTCAGACTATGTGGGTGGTCAAGCACTTGAACAGACTACCTAGGGGAGTTGTGCAATCTCCATCCTTGGAAGATTTCAAGAGCAGATTAAACAGACATTTGTATCTGTTTAATCAGTTTAGTCAGGGATGATCCTGTTTTGAGCAGGGGCCTAGACTAGATCAGTGGTTCTCAACCCTTTGCACCTTACGTCCCACCAGCCGTCTTGGTCAAAAAACCCTGGTCCCACCATGATAAAAACAAAACCCCACAAAATTGCACTGTTCAAGGTACCTGTTGATTCATCTACTGAAATGCAAACAATTGATTTTTTTCAATCGGGCAATGAGCTGAAGTTCCACCTACCTGACTTTTGAGTCCCACTGGTTGAGAAACACTGAACTAGATAACCTCTTGAGGTCCCTTCTAGCACTACTTTCCTATGATGTTATGATCCTAAGCATCTCATCACATTTCTGAAACATGAACATGAGCCCAATTTTATGAGATGTCAAACACAATTCTATCTCACTTCCTTCCCCCAGGGTACTCAGCATCTAACAAGGTGCCCAGGATTTAGGAAAGCATAATAAATGCTCCCACTTAAGTTTCACCTACACATCTTCTCCCGTTTGGAACAGTAAGAGAAATGCTAGCAAATAAATCATCCTGCCTTGCCCCATATAACTCTTGTTTCCATAAAAAAAGAAACATCTACAAATGAACCAGGTGACTTAAGCAGCAGGATACCATCTACAATGCTTCTCCTTCAAGGACAGCAGACCAACCTAGGAAACGAAAGCAAATCAAGCTACCCTGCTTTTTTGAGACAAAGGAATTTTGACAATTTCTTTTTTTATGGACCAACTGCATATTTGACAGATGTTAGACAAGCTTTTGAGCATAAAAGTGGCCTTCCTCCAGGATGGGAAAGAACCAGACACAAGCAGACACCTGACCATCATCTCAAGCAATGGTCTCAAGTTGCAGCAAGAAAAGTGTAGATCAGCTATTAGGAAAAACTCTCTCACCACGCAGGTAGTAAAGCACTGGAACAGGTTACCCAGAAGTGGTGGAATCTCTGTCCTCAGAGGTCTTTTAAGCCCCACCTAGACAAAGCCTCAACTGGGATGATGCATTTGGGGATGGTCCTGCTCAAAGCAGGGGCTTGAACTAGATGACCTCCTGAGGTCCCTTCCCCAACCCTAATTTCCTATGGTCCTACGACTTCCTGTACCGCCTCAGCTACAACACTCCAACCCTACTACATAACTTTTTGTGACATTTTCTGTAGATGAAGGACTCTCAGACAGTGTTTCACTATTTCGCTGCTTCTAACAATTCTCACACATGCACACTCACCCTCCCCCAGTTTCCTTCAGCACTAACTTCAGAAGGAATCAACCTGATTCAAATCCTGCAGGTTTAATTTAACAAATTAAACCAACTAACAAATACTGGCCTACTGCACAACTAAAATGTCTGTATCAGCGCTTTGTTTGGTTCTAAATTGGTTACACTTGGAAAAAAAAAATACAAAGGGTTGCAATCTCAAGGGAGGAGGGGATGGGTCCTGATCCTGAAAAAACAACAACAGCAATAAGAAGGCTAACTCAGATCAAAGTGGCCAACTGCAAAATTGGTGCCTGAGCTTGTAGCAGCCCCTCTTCCCCAGGCAAAACACAAACAAACAAGCAACTACTCTGGCTTCTGGTGTAATAGTTACAATATTGTGCTTTAAGCACTCAAGTATATATGGGGGTGGCGGGGGCAGACAGGTCCCACCTCAAACAGCACCCTGCTCTTGCCACCCACCTGAGCTCAGCTGGGACGTGAGAGGAAGAACAAGGGTGACAGTAACAAGAGCAGACAGCAACTGCTCAGCCAGGCATGTGCGTAGCACAGCTGTGCCCGCAAGCAGCCAGGGGCCCAGCTGATCCACGGTGGTGGGGCGTGACTGCCTTGCCCCGAGGAGCCAAGGGCCTTCACCACCCACACGGGGCAGGGCAGCTGGGCCAGGGGAACAAGGCAACCTGGCAACCTGGTCCAAGCATGGTTCTCCCCCTCCCCCCACCACCTTCGCTTTTATTTCTGTCTTTCCTGAAGAGTAATATCTGTCTTACCTTCATAACTACCGTATTTACTCAAATACAAGACCAGGTCCCGTGTGGCCCCCTCAATCGGCATGAGAAAAAAAACCCCTCCTCGTTCTTATCTTCTTATACAAGGGGCTCCAACTAAATGCAGTGTCTAGTATTAAACTCCCCCGCCTCGCAGCTACCTGCCCTCCCGGGGGGGGGAAACCTGCTCATTACCGTTAAGCGACGTCAC